GGTGTATAAGACGACTTTCGCAAGCTTTAAAATTGGCACCGAAGTCGGGGGTCGTCTTATACGCCGAGTCGTCTTATATGCCGGAAATAACAGTAGTTTCCGGCATATAAGATGACTTTCTAGGCATGTGACTCAGCGCCAAAGAAGGGGGTCGTCTTACACGCCGGGTCGCCTTATACGCCAGAATATACGGTACCTCCTTCCTCCTGTCTTCCCCAGAATGAAAATCCTGTAAGGTGGGTCGGGCTGAGGAAGAGTGATTGGCCCGAAGTTGTCACCTGGTTTTCATGCCTAAAATGGGACTAGAACTCACAGTCTCCTAGTGAATGACCCAAAGTCACCCAGCTGGCTGGCTTACATGCCTAAGGTAGGACTAGAATTCACACTCTGCAGGTTTCTAATCTGGTACCTTCACCACTGGATCAAACTGGTTTCCTTTTTATTGTTTTTGTAGCTCCCAGTAATGGAGCCACAAGGATTTTTCCAATTTTAGGATAACAAGGCAATTACGTATCTTCGATTCTGGACTGAGGCAAGGAAGCAGAGTTATTCCCTGAGCTTGAATTATTGCAAAGTAATGGTTAAAATCTTCAATTCCATCCTCAGTTATGAAGACTGACTGGGCAATTTTGGGCCAGTCTTTCTCTCTCAGCTTCATCAACTTTAAAAGGTAGTTGTTTTGGTTGTTACTCCCTTGAAGGGGTTTATGGAAGAAGAGTGGGATATAATTCTAACCAATAAGGTGATGAGCATGATCATGCTTGAAGGAAAATAATCAACTTTGGCTATACTTTCTGTTTAAATAATTAGTTTTGTCAGCTGCGGTCAGAGATGAAAACTCTAGAAAAGCATCTGGCTACAATTGTTGTTTTTATACCATCTTTCTGTAGAGATTGTGAGAACTATTAGGTCAACAAGGGCCAGTTGCCTTCCATGACTTTGAAGAAAATGACCATAATACCAGTGGGGGAGAGTAGAAATCTAGAACAAACCCCCCAGAAATGGATACACATAAACCTGAATATATACACATATTTAAGCCCTACCTTAGCTATGAAAATCAGACTTTCACCAGGAGCCGAGAGTTCTAGGCTTGCCTTAACCACGAAAGATGGCTGGGTGACTTTGGGTCAGTCATTCTCATCCCAATCCACCTCACAGGATTGATGTTGTCAGGAAACTAGAAGTAGGAAGGTGTGATGGATACGTTCACCGCTTTGAGTTATTTATAAAAATAATCAAGGCAGGATTCAAGTAAACAAATCAACAAAAATAAATATAGCTCCTATTGTCTTCTATAGCTCCATATGTGGCTAGAATGTTTGAGATTGGTTAGCAATGAATGAAACGTGAACAAATTACTTTTTATAACCGATTGCAGTTTGGAGTGGAATTTAATGGGCTCAAAACACAGGGAAAATGTGTGTTCGGAGGAAGATTTCAAGCAGCTGTGAGAAAATTCAAGTCACTGAGAAATGGAGTGATCTGGCTATGCAGTAGGAGATTTGACCCCTTCCTCAGTTACTAGATTATTTCCCTGACAGGTAGAGTTAACGAGTCACGTCCACCCACCTTTATCAGGTCAAAAGAAAAGACACTGGTGGTTGAATGTAACTGGTGAGACAAATTATCTCCCATCCCTGGTTTGTTTGCCTCTAAGGTAGCATCCACCTGTCTGAGATGGAAAGTAAGGAGGTATTTTCTGGGATCCATCCTACCCTTCCCTCACTGTCATTTCTATTTTCTTTGGGAAGGTAGTTTACTCCCCTTAGAGTTTCCATTATTGAAAACATTGAAAGAAAAATCTTCATCAGGGTCCAGTCCGAGCCGGGAATAAACAAAATGGAGACTGCTTTAGAAAGAAGGTTGTAGTTTAGCGAAGAGCAGCTCCAGACAGAAATTTGGCTCTGGGAAAACTGACCACATATTGCTGGGAGTGGTGGGTTTTTATCCCTTCTTGGCCTTTTGGGTTTGGAGTTGTCTCCTGTGGTTTTGTATTTCCTGTGTCATGTACTTTGATCTGAGGTTCAGAGCATCTTCTTTTGGTATTCTGATGGTAGGGGGTTAATCCTATTATGTCCTAAAGGTCATGTCTTTAGAGTTTGGGTGGGGTATGTAGATTTTAGGGGTCTTTGTCTTTCTAATCTCATCAGCTTCTAGCTTCCTGGCTCCAATTTTTCTGAATAGGATTATAATATGCATTTCTACAGACCTGGCCTCTGCCTGGGGCTATTAAGAAAACGAGGCCTGCTTTTCTGCCTTTAAGAGCCTTTGGGGAAATATAATATTCTGCCTTTTAATATTCCCAAAATATTTCTTTCCCAAAGGGGGGGGATGCTATCCTCCTACAAAAGGTTACAGGAAGAAGCAGGTTGTTAGTTCAAGGTGGGTTGGTGCCCTGAGAACAAAAGGAAATAAATGCCTCTCCTTTTCCTTCCTGAGACTGAAGAAAGTTTTATAGCGGGGTTTCTATCACCTTGGAGTTCTTGCTGCCAGGAGTGTAACACAGGTGTGGCCCAGTTGAGACAACCTGTTTTGGCTGGATCGACTCTCAGATGTAAGAGCGGTGTTGGGTTGGGCCAGAGAGAAAAGACTGTTCCTGAAACTCCTCGGTGAGTGTGCAAGCAATACTCAAATGTCCCTGCAGTTTCTGGGAATGAGTGTGCATGTTCTCCAACTGTGTATTCAGAGTTTCTGTGTGCTAGAACAGCATTTCCCAACCCACATCACGGTAATTGTAGTCCAACACATTTTTATTTATCTATTTATTTCCGTCCTGCCTTTATTATTTTTACAAAGAACTAAAGGTCGTGAACATTTCCACCACATCTTCCTTCCTTCCTCTCTCTCCCTCCCTCCTATTTTACTCCATAACAACAATCTTGTGAGGTGGCCTGGGCTGAGACAGACTGGCCCAAGGTCACAGAAACTGGAAAAGGTTGACAAAGGGCCGGCTTTAAGGAATTTCTCCGTGTTTGATTCTTGGTTAAGCGGTTTGGATTGTGGTCTCTTCAGATTGAGTGTGATTGTTGAAGAAAAATCCGAGTCTCCAGTTCAAATTCTGCCACTTGACCTGAATGTAACGTGGCTAGCTGTTGTTCTCCCCCTGCGCTTTTCATTTTCAGATACAGAGCTACAGAGTTGTGATTTTTTCGTGTGTTGTTTTTTTTTTTTTTGATGGGAAAGTTTTGAGTTTAGACCTGAAATGCGCAATATTTTCCTGCATGGGTGTCAAAAGGTTATTCCGGCATCTCTTTTTAAGTCTTCCAGTAATCCATGGGCTTTTATTTGCTCCTGCATTTTTATAACATGTCAATAAGAAGAAGCTGTTGCGCAGTAGCAATTATGTTCCTCTGCAGTCTGTGTTGGAATCAAATATTGAGATAACCTTTGCATGTGTACTGTTGCTGAGAGAAGGGTTGGTAGGCATTATAATTCAGAGGGTTGCTGGCAAGTGGTGAAAATTCTTGATTTTGTTTGGGGGGGGAGCAGGTGGACGGGCTGAGGAGCAGAGGTGTCTCTTGACCAGGGTTGACCAGTCCTGCTCCCCTTGAGCACTTAAATAAATGTGCAAAAGCGTCGCATGTCATTCTGTGGGGTGGAGAGAAAGAAATGGTGTTGTGTCTATCCATCTGTCTGCTCGCCTGCTTTGCTTTTTACAGCCACAAATGTGACTGAGAGCTGGTTGGCAGTGTGGCGCAGAGCAATTTAAACTCAAGTCGATTAATCCCAGGGGCTTAAAGCAAAGAAAGAGAAAGGGAAAAAAAAAATATGAGCGAGCAAAATCCAACAGAGCAAAACCTAATTAGAAGTAAGAGATTGAGAGTAAGGAAGAAAGTAAGAGAGAATAAATAAAGCATTGAACCCTGTTGAATCCCGCTTGGGTTTTTGTCTTGCTTTAAGAGCCTCAACAATCAAGGGACCCAAATGTTAGACTAGATCAGCCTGTCCTGAATCCAGCATGGTGTCCTTCTAGGGCTAGGCCATTGTTCACACCTGGTGCCTCTACCTGCTATGACTGATTGCCTTAAGGATGGCAGGGCTAAGTCTTTATGGATGGAAAGGATGCCTTGTTGGTGCAAACTTAGTAGGCAGAGTCCGTCCTAAACCAAGACAGAAAGAATGATCTCAGTACCAACAGAAGTGAGCATTTGCAGCTCAGAATCGAACTGTGGGGTCCTTGGTGCTTTCTGAGCTTGGTCGTTTTCTTGCAGACATTTCATTATCCAGCTAGGTAACATCATCAGTGTTAGAAGGGTTTATGGAGTGGAGAATAATGGGAGGAGGAAGAAGAGATTGTGGGGTCCTTGATGCTCTCTGATCTTGGTTGTTTTCTTACAGACATTTCATTACCCAACTAAGTAACATTATCACTGATAGAAGGGGGGAGGGAGATTTGGGGGGAAGGAGGAGGAGGAGGAGGAACAATATGGGGTCCTTGATGTTGTCTGAGCTTGGTTGTTTTCTTACAGACATTTCATTACACAACCAGGTAACATTATCAGTGATAGAAGAGTGTGAGGTTTGGGGGAGGAGGAGGAGGAGGAGGGGGAACAATATGGGGTCCTTGGTGCTGTCTGAGCTTGGCTGTTTTCTTGCAGACATTTCATTACCCAGCTAGGCAACATCAGTGCTAGCACGACGATGTTATCTAGCTGGGTAATGAAACATCTGCAAGGAAGCAGTCAAGCTCAGAGAATTGTCTTGGACAACAAATTTTGAGAAATTGGACTCAGAAGCTGGAGAAAACTGAATAAGATGAGGCTGCTTTGCACTGAGGCCTTGTTCTATTATCAGTCTGCAGAAATATTCCGCTATCAGTTGGAACTGGGGTCACTTCAAGCAGAAACGGATCGTGCAACATTTGACAGGGGAGAAGAGTCCAATGTTGACCCTGCTGTAATTCATTTGGATGAGAAAATATCCACGGGGTACTTGGGGACAGGGATTTTGGATGTGCTTGGAATGCAGCCTGATCATCTAAACTTGTCTTACTCTAGGACATGAAGGGCCTTGAGGAAGGGGTGGAATTCCTCCCCACCATGAACTCCAAGAAGCTTGAGAAGCGTGGTCCAAAACGTTGGGTGGTGGTGGTCATCATAGTATCCACCTGCCTGCTCCTTTCTCTGCTGGTTGGGCTGCTGGTTTGGCACTTCAAATGTAAGTTGTGCGGGGTTCGCCTTGCACTCCAAACTAAAAATAGTTATGAATGATAATATGTTAAGGTAGAACAACTAATACACTACTTAATATCCTACGACCGATTTAACCAGCTTTACATCTAAATAAATCGGCTTCCTCTGTGGGTTTAGTCATCTATAAAATAGAACTACTGAGATTCTAATCCTGATGCATATATTTAGGGCGAGATTTTACGTTTGTCTTCCAGATGGGTTTCAGTTGCAATACTCAAGAAGAACAAGGTGAAAGGGTGGAGGGGATGACACTTTCCAAATAACTTGTTTGTTCCAGACACTCTGGGTTGCTAGCAGAAAGTATCCTGTCCCACATTTTTTGCTGATTCTGACCTCTGTCCTCCCTTGGCTGCTTTCAGACAGGGCCGTCCTTGAGCACAAGTCATACAACGGCCGCATGAGATTGATAGGCACTCAGTTCATCGATGCTTATGAGAGATCCAGTTCTCCTGAATTCGCCAAAATGGCGAAGACTGCAAAGAAGATGGTAAGAACTAAAAGCAGTATGACCAACGGCAGCAACGGATCCTTTGTGTTGGATGTCATGGGTTTAGATTAAAGCAGCTTCTCTCACCACCTATTGGCTCCAAATGTATTGCAATGTTAATTCCCAGAATTTTTAGCTGTGCAGTCTTTGGAATTCTGGAAGTTACAGGTCAGGCCTATTTGAGATGACACTGAAGAGAAAATGGACACTATTTAAAGTCTCCTGATCGCAAGAAATTACTTGCTTGCGAGGAAGGTTGAACTCATCAATTGTCCTGCAAGGAGGGGTCTTCTGCTGATGTCTAGCTGGCATTACAGTCAGTCCTTGCTCACCAACCATAATTGGGACCTGGAACTCCATCAACTAAGCAACATGGTTGTAAGGCCCAATTTCATGCAACAGACACTAAACCACTCAAGTTACCTGGTGGGGTTCATACATGACACAAATCATGTAATGTGGTTTATTGGATTTTGGCTTAGCATGTTGACATGGATCCAGCCATCCCAATTTAGCAATAGCAATAACACTTAGACTTATATATCGCTTCACAGTGCTTTACAACCCTCTCTAAGCAGTTTACAGAATCAGCCTATTGCCCCCAATCATCTGGGTCCTCATTTTACCGATTTTGGAAGGATGAAAAGCTGAGTCAACCTTGAGCCAGTCAGGATCGAACTCTTGACAGTGAGCAGTGAATTAGCCTGCAATACTGCATTCTAACCACTGCGCCACCACAGCTCTGAATGACTGTAGTCCAATCCCATCGTTTGTTCAGGAAAACAAAGACTGTTAACAAAGGCATTAAGGATCCTGCAATAAAACAAAGAAGCTAGAATCCCAACAGATGAATAAGTAAGACATTGACAAATAACGGTACAGGCTGTGAGAAAAATGAGCCCGGATGGAATAGTTAGACTGATTTTTAAGCTGAATTTAATAGAAATGTATCCACTCTTGTACTTGTTTTCAATGCAGCCATTTTTTATCTTTAGCTCTTGGACATCTATGCAAATAATTCGGACGTTGGTCCTTTCCACAAAGAGTCAAAAATACAAGCATTCAGGTACGTAACTCATGAAACATCAGAGCACTTTGGTCTAATGGTTATGATATCAGGCTAGAAGCCAGGAAACAATAAGTTGTAATCCCTATTTAGGCATGAAAGGTGGATGGGTACTTTGGGCCAATCCCCAGGAGGCTGTGAGTTCTAGTCCCACCTTAGGCACAAAAGATGGCTGAGTGACCATGAGTTTTAGTTTTACTTAGACATGAAAGCCAGCTGGGTGGTTTTGGGTGATTTGGGGCCAATCATCAGGAGATGGTGAGTTCTAGTCCCGCCTTTAGGCATGAAAGCTGGTCAGCTGGGTGACTTTGGGTCATTCACTAGGAGATGTGAATTGTAGTCCTGCCTTAGCCATGAAAGTCACTCTCTCTCAGCCCAACCCATTCTCATAGGATGGTTGAAAGGAAAATAGGAGGAGGAGAAAAGAATATTACATATGTTGCCAAGTTTGAAAAATTTTTTTTTTAGACCTTGAAGCCATTGATCATAGTGGAATGTTCTATTACAGCAGTGATTCTCAACCTGTGGGTCGGGCCCCCGTTTGGGGTCGAACGACCATTTCACGAGGGTCGCCAAACAACGCAGTCCGCCATTTTTCCCCCCCTTTTCCTTAGCTGTGCTATTCCCTTTTATTCTATTGGCTTTTGAAAGCCAATAGAATAGACTCTCTTGAACAGAGTTTAATTCTATTGGCTTTCAAAAGCCAATAGGAATTGTCCAGGCTGTCTCTGCCCTGCTGAGCCCGCCAAAAGTCCCATTCTGCAAACGGTGCTGCACCAGTTGAGTAGTCGTCGACTTACGACCGGTTGAGTAGTCCTTGACTTACGACCAGTTGGGGGGTCACGGCATTAAAAAGGTTGAGAACCACTGTATTACAGCTACTATTTTTTTTCGGCAACCCCAATTATTTAGGCTGGATTCTAACCTATCTGTCGTTTTTTTTTCCCCTTCTCACAGTGAAGGCAGTGTTATTGCTTACTTCTTGTCCACGTTCAGTGTGCCTCATTACAAGATCGATACTCTTGATAACGCCATGGCAAATTTCCAGATTTTAAAACTAGAGGGGATGGGAAAAGCGCGCAAGCCGCAACTTCGAATTGAGTCTCTTGTTGCTTTTCGTAAGTCTCTCTCTCTCTTTTTTTTTTTGTTTGCCTTTTCCTACACAGATTCCCTCATCTGTCTAGCTTGGTGGAATATTTGCACTAGACCCCAGGGAAGGTTGAACTTTGGGGTGTGTCAAAGCAAAGAAAATGTTTAAAAGGCAACCTTAGTAGAAAAAAATAGCAGAATAAATCTAATACTTATGAAGATATGTCCCAGGATAATATTGCAGGATCCAGTCTGGGTCAGTCACTGGGACCAGAAATTTAGTCTTCCAAACTTTTGGACTCAGATTGAGCCCATCCTGAGGGAACTTCTCTCTACCAGAATGTGGTAACTAATCTAATATTCCCATTTCTAATGTCAATCTGGAGGACTTGAAACTCAACCATTTTTTTTCTATTTTGCATAAGTAGAGTTGGGCCTGACTGGCTGGGGAATGCTCAGCAAACGCATGGCAAAGGAGAGATTAATCTTAAGAGCCAGCGCCATCATGAGGAAGGGAGAGGCAGTTGCTTTGGGTTGCCAAGGGATGGTCAGAGGTCATAAAAGATGCTAAAGAACAGAGATACGTGTACAACAGGGGTGTCAAACTCAATTTCATTGAGGGCTGCGTCAGCATTGTGGTTGCCCTTGGGGGGCGGGGGGGTTTAGCCAGGTTGGGTGTGGCCTACTGGGTGGGCATGGCCAGCTCTACATTGTTCGCATCAAGGATGCCTATGGGGGCCTGGGCAGGAGTGGGACAGATCTGAGGGTCTCTGGCAGAAGTGGGTGGGACCAGGGCAAGTGCCAAGGCATGGTCCATTTCTTCATAGCTTACAAAGGGTGACACCCAGCATGACCCAGGGGGCGGAGCCAACATGGCAGGGGCTGGTTCCTCACTGTTTCTAGACGGCCTTGTGGAGCTAAGACTGAATGTGTTTCAGCATAGATGGCCACCACAAAATTGGACATTGGCTCCCGGTTGTCCGGCCTGGGCCAGGGCCAAGGCAGTGGGGACCGTTCCCTCACTGTTTCCAGGAAGGCTTCGCGGGCCACATGAAACCACTTCGCGGGCCGCATCCAGCCCCCGGGCCTTGTGTTTGACATATCTGGTGTACAACATGACTCGCTACTAATTGTCTCCAGTATAATCTTGTAACTTCCAGTGCAGCAGATAAGATCTCATTGCAAGCTTTTTAATCGTAAGGCCCTTGACTTACGATTGCTTGTTTAGTGACCTTTTGCAGTTATGATGGACCTACCGGGTGGCTATTTACAACCCAGATTCAAAATTGAGATAGTTGCTCCCCAGGCCACATGACTGAATTTCTGGCACTTGGCAACCAGGCTGCATTTATGACCATTTGTAGCATCCTGAAGTCATATGTCTGTTTTTTTCTTTTTACCATGGTTTTGTTTCTGGTTTTCGGCATATCCGCACCCATAGCAAACTGTGGATTCGTTTAACAGCTGTGACGTTCACTTAATGACTCCTGCAAAAAAAGTCATAAAACGGAGTTGGTCATACAACTGGCCCATTTTATGGCTGTCATAATTACAACCGTGATGGGCAGGCTCCATTATGATTATAAGTCAAGGATTTCCTATAAGATGTATAAATCCCATCATTCCTTCTACAGCACCAGCCTGACGTGGTTGAAAAGAAGTCCACAAGAACTTGGAATGTTCTTGCAATCCCCAGAAAGTTCCATCCCATAATAATGAATTTTGCACACAATATCATATACATTTGTCCAGCGGTGCAACGGCCTAAAGGTGAAGATATTTGCTTCCCACTTGGAAGGTTGAGAGTTCAGTCCTAGGCAGTGGCAGATGTTTCTCTACCAGGGACCAAAGAGAAAATATCTGTTGTGAACTCTGTGTAGGTGTCAGGAAGGGCATCCAGCCAGTAAATGCTCAACTCCATTCAATCACCCCCAACTCCACCCCGAATAAGGGGATTAAAGAGTTATAAAAAGAAAAAGAAACCATATAAATTTGTCTCAGGCTTTCAAAATGTTTTTGACTAGCTCATTTACTAGATTGATCTCATCTATTAAAGACATCAGTGTCTGTTAATGGAAAGCAACCTTGGATGATTTTTAGGAAAGTCCCACAATCAAGATATTGGTTGCACTTAGTCCAATTTTGAGCATCCATTTCTGTGAAAAGCTTTTGGCTGTATTTCACCCAAAACAATTGTGTTGGTAGTTTCCCTTTTATGAATTCAGGTTGTCTGCGATTGCCTTACGTTGAAGGTGCAAAATTAAATACCTCATTATGTTTTAACTTGCAGCTACTGATGAGGATATCATTAAAGCAGCCCGAGTCAGTAAGTAAAATTTGATTTTTATTTTGTTGTTGTTTTTAGTTGCAATAATAATAAATTATGGGATATTTGAATAATTGGAGATTGTTATTGTTTGGGGTAAATTGGAATATTGATATTGGTAGGAAAAAGCATATTGAAGCTGCAATCCTATCGTTACTTATGTGGGATAAAGGCTGTTGAATTCAGTTGGACATAGAACATAGAACAACAGAGTTGGAAGGGAGTTGGGTTAGATGACTTCCAAGTCCCTTCCAACTCCCCAAGGGACTTGGAGGTCATCTAGTCCAGTGGTTCTCAACCTTTTTAATGCCGTGACCCCCCAACCGGTCGTGAGTCGAGGACTACTCAACTGGTGCAGCACCGTTTGCAGAATGGGACTTTTGGCGGGCTCAGCAGGGCAGAGACAGCCTGGACAATTCCTATTGGCTTTTGAAAGCCAATAGAATTAGACTCTATTCAAGAGAGTCTATTCTATTGGCTTTCAAAAGCCAATAGAATAAAAGGGAGTAGCACAGCTAAGGAAAAGGCGAAAAAAATGGCGGACTGCGTTGTTTGGCGACCCCCGTGAAATGGTCGTTCGACCCCAAATGGGGTCCCGACCCACAGGTTGAGAACCACTGATCTAGTCCAACTCCCTGCTCTAGCAGGAGACCATATATATTTCAGACAAGTAGCTGTCCACTCTCCTCTTGAAGCCTCCAGTCATGGGGCACCCATAACTTCTGAAGGCAAGCTGTTCCACTGACTGATTGTTCTCACCGTTAGGAAATTTCTCCTTAGTTCTAGGTTGCTTTTCTCCTTGATTAGTTTCCATCTGCCGAACAGACAAGCATTCAAAAAGTTATTACAAAACCTGAACGAAAGCATTGTGACTAGAACCAAGACTGATGCAAAAGGAATAAGGTGGAAGAATGACTTAAAATACTTTCTTGAAACTGGACACATTAGAAGCAAGATAATGTTGACTGAGACCATTCACCCCACCCCAGCCCTCATGGCTAATGAGGGACTTTCAGGCAGATTGCGGTTTTCTCTTTGCTTCTGAAATGGTGTTTTCCAACGTATTTACATTAAATTTTGATCAAGACTTAGACATCTCTGCTATCTGCAGTTCAACAAAAAGTGCAATGTTAGTGCTTTTATTCTAGGAAAGGTCTCCCTTTTCTTTCATTTTCTGGCCTGGTTCTTAGCAAACAAAACATATGCCTCTATGCCCTCAACAGGTTAGGAGAATGTGTACGCCCTTCCTTTTGTGAGATCTTTGTTGCTCAAACTGTTGTCAAGATTTGACAGCCATATTCATTAAACATGACATTATAATCTCTCAGAGAAGTATATCGTTCTTCACCAAACAAGCGAAGGAACATGAAATTTTGCCTAGGCAGGCCTTAAAAATCACTCAGAGGACACTGTCAATGCTACTAATATTGAATATTCTTGCTTTGACAAAATATGCTGAACTGTCTGGTACTTTTAGAGTTAATTCAGAGGAGAATGAGGGAGGAGGGGAAAAGTCTGCTGAAAGAGGACAGAAGAGAACCTTTGCCCTTCAAACTAATTGGAGAACGTAAATCATAACAACAGAATAAGGGAGGGGAAATGCTAGCAAAAATAACTGCTCTGTGGGTGGAAATTTCAGATCACCGTGGGGACATTTTGACACAAATAAAAAAGACTTTTTAGGATAAGATGCCTGGAAGTTCTTTGAAGTGTTTCATTAGTCGGAACCATGACAGACACATTCCTTGCTTTGCATATTTGTCATTAACTACTCAGTAATTGCACTATTTGGGGTGATGTACAAATTCATTAAAAGCTGTCACTGAAAAGCTATTTGACTGTATTAAAACATTCAAAGTAATGACTCGACAAGGTGAAGTGTTGCAACAGTAAGGTGATAAAGAGCAAATGGTAACACAATAAAATAAAATTTTACAACCATGTGATACAGGTTTTTTTTTTTTAAAAAATGAGTGGTAAGCTAAAACTGTCTTAACCTGGTAGCACAATTTATTCAGAATGTGTTGGAGCCGTGTTGGCGCAGTGTTAGAATGCAGTATTGCAGGCTAACTCTGCCCACAGTCTGGAGTTTGATCCTGACCGGCTCAAGGTTGACTCAGCCTTCCATCCTTTTGAGCTCGGTAAAATGAGGGCCCAGATTGTTGGGGGCAAATCTGCTGACTCTGTAAACAGCTCAGAGAGTGCTGTAAAGCACTATGAAGTGGTATATAAGTCTAAGTGCTATTGCTAAGAGTTATTGTCCATCTCTTACATCTTTTGGAGCCTTCCAGTTTTAATTTGCCCATCTGAATTCTTTTACTGCATCAGAAATGCTTTCTTGCCATTCTCTTGAGAACTTTCTCTTCTGATGTTGTTTCTCTCACCTGGCTAGACAGCTGCAAATATGCGTTGCATGCCAAAGAAGGGAAAGTGACCAGCTTTACCACGCCAGGATTCCCAAACAGCCCTTACCCATCCAACATGCGCTGCATCTGGGCACTGAGAGCCGATGCCAACGCGGTCATTAGCCTGACCTTCACTACATTTGACGTTGAGTCTTGCAACCAAGGAGAGGACTTTGTCAAGGTGTATAACACCTTGAGCCCAGTGGAAGAACGCGCGTTGGTGAAGTAAGTACACTGGCTACAACATGACATGCTCTCATGGGAGGAAATACAGATGGGCTGTTGAGGGCCTAGTTAGCAGGAAACTGAGATAGACTTGACTTCAGGTTTTCATGGCATCTTCTGGGTTGCACTGATAGCTACATTGCTGGGGAAAGAGATTGCCAAATATGCATTGCTTTGTCACTAATTGTTTCTCCTTCTCCCTCCCTTCTCTCTTCTCCCTCCCTCTCTTCTCCTTTCTCCCTTCTCTCTTCTCCCTCCCTCCCTTCTCCTTTCTCCCTTCTCCCTCCCTCCCTTCTCCTTTCTCCCTTCTCCCTCCCTCCTTTCTCCCTTCTCTCTTCTCCCTCCCTTCTCTCTTCTCCCTCCCTTCTCCTTTCTCCCTTCTCCCTCCCTCCTTTCTCCCTTCTCTCTTCTCCCTCCCTCCCTCTCTTTTCCTTTCTCTCTTCTCCCTTCTCCCTCCCTCCCTTCTCCTTTCTCCCTTTTCTCCCTCCCTTCTCTCTTCTCCCTCCCTCCCTCCCTCTCTTCTCCTTTCTCTCTTCTCCCTCTCTCCCTTCCTTTCTTACAGGTTATGTGGGAGCTTTGATTTTTCATACAACCTAACTTTCATCTCCTCTCAAAACGTCCTCCTGGTGATGCTAAGTACAGATGCAAACGGAAGATATCCTGGGTTCAAAGCAGAATTCTTCCAGATGCCAAAGATGACATGTAAGAAAAAGTCATTCTTTCTATTTGGGGGCGATAAAAAGAAGCTCATGGGTTGGCAGGATGTGTGGCCTGACAATGAATTCGCTCCTTTTCCTGACAGTTTCCTCCTTAAGAGAAAGGGAAGAAGACATGAGAAAGGTACAGGCCAGAAGTCCAAGAAAAAAAGATGATCTTAGCCACTGTTGACCCTGGCTATACTTTAGCCACATTTCCTTCAAGAAATAGCAGGCATTCCCCATCATTGTACTCATTATTAAGTCATTCGTACAGAAAAAAAATGTCCACTCCCAATTAAGTAAATGATTCAGTCTAGTCGAAGATAAAGATGAGTGAAAAATGAGTAGGCTAGAGAGGGAGAAAGTCTTGAGGATAATAAGGCACCATGGGCCCGGTTTTTCCCCTCACTCAGGAGTTGTTGTGATAAATGTTGTGATAAATAACACCCTACTGCCCCCACACACACACTTCCAGATACTCTAATGATGCTTCCTAATGAGAAATGAGCTGAAATTGCATGGGATTGAGCTGATGGACAGGTGTGTACAGGTAGCCATAATTGGTCTCCTGGGTTATATCCATGCTTTTGAATCAGGCCATTAACAATTGGCATCCTCTTATTAATAATGGCTGTTCTGCACAAATGCCTCTTTTCCAGCCACAAACAAGGTTCATAAGATGTTGTTTTCTCCCTCCCCCCCCCAAATTGTAGCTTGCGGTGGAGTTTTGAAGGGTATCTCAGGAAACTTCACCACTCCTTATTATCCAGCCCACTACCCTCCAGATTTGGATTGTGTATGGAATATAGAGGTAAGAATTTCAAAGCACTAACTCTGTTTTTCTTTTGGGGCGTAGAGCATAGACAAGGGGAGAGCACTTCTAACCGGCAGATCTGGTGTTAAGAGTTAAAAGAGCTTCTCTGTGATCTATTCTTAAACGTCTGAAAAGACAAAGTCATGTCAACTCAACCATGGAGCGTGGGGCGGAAAGCCAGAGCTTTCTTTCTTATTGTTACTATTTTAATGTGCATTTCTAACCCTCAAGTTGATTTTATATGGCTTTTTAAAAGAATTTGTGATAGTGAAGCAAGGGAACCACTCATGGTGCACTAATCCATAATGTGGTTCATTGGGTTTGGATTTAATATGACGTGTGAACTGATCCCAACTGGCTTAGTCAACAAACATGACTAAACCAAACCATGATTTAATGTAGCAGGTGATCCTAACTAAGTTCTGTGTGTGTGGATCCAGATTCAACCTCTGTATTTATTTACTGCATCTATAACCCACTCTTCCTTTTGAAGATTAATATAGTTCAGATGATGGTATCTCCTAATTTGTTATTGTACCTTGAAGCAATGTAGTGACCAGTTCATAGTCATGCAACGTTAGTTAACAATGAGTATTGCATGCCTTGATGCTATGTTTTTACTATTGAGTTGACCACTATCTTGTCCAACCCCTAAATCATTGTCCTACAGTGACTCTGTGGCATAATGATTGCATGAATTAAGTATTCCTCTTCTCCAACAGAAATATCAATCAGCTCAAGTTCTATTTTTAGATTCCATATGTTTGTACTTTATGATGAATAGGGCGATCTAGGGTGATCCAGATTGCTAGATTTCTTTGTATGTTCTGTTAGGCAACAGGGCTATTTAAAATGTTCCTAGTTATATTTTAAGAAAATGTTGGAAAAGGCAACTAGCTTGGGAGTGAAATCAATGTGTATTCCTTCTTTCCTCTGCCCACCCCTGCCAACTTTAAATCTCATTCTCAGGTGCCTAATAACAAAAATGTGAAGATACGCTTCAATGAATTCTACCTTGAGGATCCTGGTGACTCATCCAACTCCTGCCCCAAAGATTATGTGGAAATCAACGGTGTCAGGTAAGAGCCAGGCATTTGTAAACCCGTATTACCAGTTCTTGTGTGGTTGTAGCTGTGACTGTCTTATCCACTTAGGGCAGGGGTAGGCAACCTTGGCTCTTTTATGATTGGTGGGCTTCAACTCCCAGAATTCCTGAGCCAGCCATGCTGAGGGGAAAGGGAGAGGTTTCCAAGCTGAGCCATGTTGGCTCAGGAATTCTGGGAGTTGAAGTCCACGAGTCATAAAAGAGCCAAGGTTGCCTACCCCTGACTTAGGGCCTTTAAGGTATTCCCTTGCCCTCTTTTAGGATAGAAATATCATAAATGAAAGGTCCTTGCTGATTAAAAAAAAAAAAATCCCTAGCACTCTCAGATGAGGGTGAAGGTTCGTTCTCCGAGCTTGTGGGTTGGTTTCCAAACGTTTCGTTACCAGGCTAGGTAACATCTTCAGCGGAGTTTAGGGGATGTCCGCGTTTTTCTGTTTATGAGGGCTTCAGGTGTGGGTGTGTCGATTGAGGGTCTTGGGATGGGTCTTGGGATGGGTCAGGTGTGAGTCATCAGTGGGAGGCTTGTGATGGGTCTTGTGATGAGGAGGTTACATCCGGTCAGGGTCCTTGGGAGGTGAATTGCTGGTGGGAGTGGGGCTTGTGTGGGTTGGTTGAGGGCTGGTGTTGTCTCTGGTTGGCTGTGTGGTTGATTTATTTATTTATTTATGAGACTTATATACCGCTTTAAGTGCGAGCACTCTCTAAGCGGTGTACACCAGTAAGCAATGTGTATATATATTTACATTGCCCCCAACAATCTGGGTCCTCATTTTACCTACCCCGGAAGGATGGAAGGCTGAGTCAATCTTGAGCCGGTGAGATTTGAACCACTGACCTGCTGAACCCAGTCAGCTAAAGTGGCCTGCAGTACTGCACCCTAACTGCTGCGCCACCTCGGCTCATGATTTGGATTCTGAGGGGCTCGTAGGCTGGTTATTGGTCGATGTGTCTGTGGATGGAATTGCTTGTGGACTGCCAGGCTTCGATGAACTCACGAGCGTGGCGGGGGGTAACGTGGCCAATGATTTTAGTGTTGCTCCAATCGAACTGGTGTTGTTTGGTGTCGGTGTGGGTAGTGATTAAGGATTTGGGATCGTGGCATTCTACTGCCAGCCGGTGTTCATGGATCCTGTTTTTTAATTGACGTGATGACCTGACTAGCTTTGTATTTTGCACAACTGAAAGAATTAGAAGACCTTGTCATTTTATTATGTATGTGTGCATGCATGTGTATGTGTGAGAGTGATCTCATAGATTTATGTATGCATCTCATCATGAATGAATGAATGAATTGATGAATGAATGAATGAATGAATGAATGGCCTGTGGTTGATTTTTATCTTCTTGTGGTCCTTTAGGTATTGTCAGCCCAGCAAGGGATTTGTGGTAATGAGTAAAACCAACAAAATTACAGTTCGTTTCCACTCAGATGAGTCACACGTGGACAGTGGCTTTTCGGCAGAGTATTTGTCCTTTGACTCCAATGACCGTAAGTGGAGATGTCAAATGTGAGATTAATTAGGGAGATAGATGGTGATACGAGGCACCTTCTCAGTTAGGAAAGTTTGGAACATTGAGGCAACAGAATACTTCGATGCTTTCACCTACGTACAATATTAATATATTTATTTGTTTTCTCTTCCCCCTCCTCTTTGTTGACTTATAGCTTGCCCAGGGCAATTCACCTGCAAAAGTGGCCGTTGTGTCAGCAATGAAAGGCGTTGTGATGGGTGGTTTGACTGCCCAGATGCCAGTGATGAGAAAAACTGCAGTAGGTTCCCCCTGTTTAGCCCTGTTTGGGGGTGCGGAGGGTGCTCACAAGGCTTGTTTACTTTTTCAGTGGGCTGCATCGCCCACGGGGTCCACAGCTGATGGAGGCCTTTCCATAACTGCATAGCAGATAGTCTTCTTCTTTTTCTTCTTCAGCTTGCACTGCGAAACAATTCCGATGCCATAATAAGTGGTGCAAGCCAAAGTACTGGGTTTGTGACACGGTGAATGACTGTGGGGACAACAGCGATGAACTGCAGTGCGGTGAGTCATTTTCATGAGATGAAGAAATTTAGAACATGAAGAACTGACTGCTCTTAATGGGAACTAGGAGTTCAAACCTCTTAGTTGTCCAGCCGGGGTTTCTAAACTAAACCACAATTTAAAGTTTTTCACAGCGTGTTAAATCATGAACTGGGTTTATACAGTCTAAAAAGCTTAAAGCTGGAAAGAGTGGAGGAAAGATGGAATGGCCTTGAGGGATAGAAGGAAGAACCGTTGCCATGGTGATGGTAACTCCAAGGACAATTGGATCTCCATGAAAATGTAAAGATTAGATTTTAAACCTCACAAACTAAACTCATCTCTCACCTTGGGTGAGCTCCTCCGCATTTTCCAAGCTCAACTAATGTCTTATCTTGACCTTAGTTGGGACTGAAGTTATAACGCATTTTATTTATTTTATTTTATTATTATTTTATTTTATTATTATTTATTTGTTTTAATGTTTTACATTATAACTGGATGTGTTTTGTAGTTTTAAACATGATTTTATATGTCTTTTAATTTTTTGATTGGGAGCTGCCACAATTGGCTGAAGGATGGGCAGCTATATAAATGTTTTATATAAATAAAGTGAAATGGTCGGGTAAAATAAGGTATAATCCAGGACAGAAACATCTCAGACAAGTCTCTTCCAGGTTCTCACAAAAATCCAGGGAAGGAGGGAGGATACGCATTCAGACCTGCCAGATAAAATACGACAGCTTAATAATAATAATAATAGTAATAATAATAATAATAACAACAACAACAACAACAACAATAATAGTAAAGTTGGAAGTGATCTTGGAGGTCATCTAGTCCAACCCCCTGCTCAGGCAGGAAACCCTACACCATTTCGGACAAATGGCTGTCCAGTCTCTTCTTAAAAACTTCCAGTGTTGGAGCATTTACTGCTTCTGGAGGCAGGCTGTTCCACTGATTAATTGTTCTCACTGTCAGGAAGTTTCTCCTTAGTTCTAGGTTGCTTCTCTCCTTGATTAGTTTCCACCCGTTGCTTCTTGTCCTGCCTTCAGGTGCTTTGGAGAATAGCTTGACTCCCTCTTCTTTGGGGCAGCCCCTGAGATATTGGACACTGCTATCATGTCCCCCCTCATCCTTCTCTTCGTTAAACTAGACATACCCAATTCCAGCAATAATAAGACTGACCTTCATTACATGGGATTTCTAGCTTGACCTAACTTGAAGGGCCGACAACAAATTCTGTTTTCTCTTAGTAGGATGATTGGGACCTTTTAGGTGTGATGTAGTTTTTGAGGGAGTCTTGCAAAAAATCAGCTCCAGTGTGAAAGCAGACCTACCATGACAGATAGTGGCTGGTGGGAATGACTTCTTCTCTAGCAATGGAAACTTGCAATTTCTCCCTTCCTTCTCAGAATGTCCTCCTGAGAGCTTCAAGTGCAGTAACGGTGATTGCATCCCAGCACAGAAGAAATGCGACGGAAAAGCTGACTGCAAAGATGGCAGCGACGAGGGAAAGTGCAGCTCCGGTAAAGGCTGTAAGAGAAGTGATAAAAGTCTGACCCGGGGAGGGGGAATCCGGGAAAATGGTGGCTTCTAAGCAGTGTTGTCTTGTCCATTGTGGTCAGGTCTTGGGGAGCAGTGGAGATGGGGGTAACTGATGTCCACAGGTTGTGTTCATACCACTGCTTTCCTTATGAAGAAGTGGTTAGCCCCTGGTTCAAACAGTTGAACCCATTCAACATTGGATCAAGAAGGCATTTTAATCCCTAACATACCTGCTATTGTTTTCATCTAACCTTCTTTGCTGTTTCGGCATATAAAGATGAAGTCCTAGGGAGTAATAAGTTATCCCTACAAACTTGGTTTGTCCCTAATTTCCCCAACATTCAGGAGTGGGACATTGGCAGAAGGAAACAAATTGAATAAGCTTTCTTCAGCTTTGTGAAAGCACCAACCCTGATCATTGGGTCATCACTTTTCTTTCAACATGTTAATTAAAACAAAAAAAACAATAGGAAGTGATCATCTCCAAGAATGTTTGAAGACTCAAAGCCTCTAAGACTTGAAGTCCACAAGTCTTAAAGTTGCCAAGTTTGGAGACCCCTCATCTAAGCTCTTCAAAACTGCCCATTCTCAATTTGACCAGGACATTGCAATTGATTAGTTCTTCAAGGCTAGCACATCAACATTGCCTGTTCTCTTTCTCTGAAACTTCTCAACACCATTGCCGTTTTGATCCCTGTTTCCAAACCAAACCGACACATTTTTACTCTTTCAGACCTTTTCATATGAACGCCGTTCAATTGCCACGGAACCCTTAATTAACCTCATTTCTGTAGCTTTGGTTTCCCTTCCCTACTGCGTAATTCTTTTTAATGACTTTTAATAATAGGATTCTGGCATAGTTTGTATTTGAAAACTGTGTGTTTTTCTTTGGAATTCTCAAGGAAGGTTTATGAGCCGCCTGACTCCCCCAAAAAAACATCTATGTTCTGGAGGGTATTGTGTAATTTTTCTTAAAAAATTACCCTCATGGAAGTAGACATGCTGAGGGCAGTCAGAAAAATGGTGTGTTCTACTTTCTAGAAAGGAAGTAGCCAAGTTCTCCATGGTATTGAAGTGCTCTGGAAAAGATTCAAATACTTCCGGGCTCCATTTTACGTTGGGTGATGCTCCCTGGGCTCTTTGACCAAACACAATGGTCTCCATCATCACCTGGTGTCCTCCTCTTCTGACATTACATTTTCTTTCTCTCTGCTTCACTCAAAGTGGCCAACGTTTCCTGTCAAGCATATACGTACAAATGCCGCAACAATCAGTGTGTGAGCAAAAGGAATCCAGAATGTGATGGGACGACAGACTGCAGTGACAAATCAGATGAAGATAATTGCAGTGAGTTCTAATCCTAGCGATATGAGAAAGTGGATAATCTGAGAAGTGAATAAATTCACAAATGTAGCAGTCTTGGAAAATTAAGTTAGCTTGTGGTGAAAGGGTTGGAAACTTAGAAACCATTGACTATTATTATTGTTATTATTGTTGTTGTTCTTGTTGTTGTTGCTGTTGTTATTATGGTTTGCATTTGGTGGTTTTTAGTTGAGTAAGTAGGACAACTTACTTGGGCCTAGATGGCCATATTTGTTCTTTCTGTCCTACCTAGAGGTCAAGACTACGTGACTCTGAATATTATAGCATTAGTCTTGATGTGTCTGGGGACATTACAAGCAGTGCTGATGGGCATAATGATCATTGTTAGCCAGAGGTTCTTATTTGGCCATTATGTGGAGAGATTGGGGGGTTACTTCCATTCCAACATCTTCCAAATATTTTTCACAACCCTTAATGCAGAGGAGAATGGATGAAAATGAAGTTCAGTTCTTGCCATGAGGTTAAAAAGGATGTCAGAATATTGGGAAATACTTTCCCCCTGCAAAGGATTGTGGGAAACTCTTGTTGAACGTCTTGAATGATGCCCAGGCATCTTCCTTAACTGAAGAGACCAACTGATTGAAGCTTTTTTGGGTGTGTGTCTGAAATCTGTTCCTTTTAGACTGTGGTCTCCGTGCGTATAGCAAACAGTCCCGGATTGTAGGTGGAGAGGATTCGGATTTGGGCGAATGGCCCTGGCAGGTCAGCCTGCATGTCCAGGGCGAGGGTCATGTCTGTGGGGCTTCCTTGATATCCAACAAGTGGCTGGTCACTGCTGCCCATTGCTTTGTTGAAAAGAACTACATCAGGTAGGTAGAGATTTTTATCATGTTTCAGAATTTTTTTTTTTTAAATTGATCTGTTTGGGGATGTTACAAGCAGTGTTGATGAGCAAAATGGTCATTATTAACCAGAGGTACTTATTTTGGCCTTATGTGGAAAGACTGGGGGAGGGGTCTTCAAACTTGGCAACTTTAAGACGTGTGGACTTCAACTCCCAGAATTCCTCAGCCAGCCAACTTTAAGTTGAAGTCTTAAAGTTGCCAAGTTTGAAGACCCCTGGGTTGGGGGTTACTTCCATTCCAACTTCTTCCAAATATTTTTGGAATTTTTAAAGTACAGGATCCAAAAGAGTGGGGGGCTCACCTTGTCTGGAGTAAGATGTTCCATAGGGTGTGGATAGCAGCTGAGAAGACCCTCTCCAAGATCCCACCATGCTGGCTAGGGAATTCTGGGAGTTGAAGTCCATAAGTCATAAAGTTGCCAAGTTTGGAGAGCCCTGCTTTTGACCAATGGGATAGACAGCATGCCCTGTCTGCTTGACTGGTTGGGGGCTGGTCAATGGAATTGGGATGGGATGGTTGATCAAGTATCCTGATCCCATGCCAGGAATCCCATTTTGGTATGAGAAAGCAGAAGACAATATTGGCTTTCTTATCAGAGTCAGACACTAAGGTAAGATAAGCAGGAATCATCCAATCTTTGCTGAATTTCTCATGATCTCAAGATCCATGCACTAGCCAAGCCCCAAGCTTTCAAACCTTATGCAGGTAGTCCTCATGCCAGTTGCCAAGCATCCACGTTTAGATCATGTGACCATGGGGATGCTGCAACGGTTGTACATGCGAAAACAGGTCATAGGTTTTTCAGTGCTGTTGTAACTTGAAACTAAACAAGTGGTTGTAAGTCAAAAGTATTGAAAAATGTTCTTGCTGTCATCGCAAAGATGCTTTTTCACGAGGCATCCGGTCTTTCTTGTTTTTTTCTTTGAAGACATTTCGCTTCATCCAAGAAGCTTCTTCAGCTCTGATTGGATAGTGGGGAATGGAAGGATCATCTACTGCAGGGGTAGGCAACCTTGGCTCTTTTATGACTCGTGGACTTCAACTCCCAGAATTCCTGAGCCAGCCATGCTGAGAGGAAAGGGAGAGGTTTCCAAGCTGAGCCATGCTGGCTCAGGAATTCTGGGAGTTGAAGTCCACGAGTCATAAAAGAGCCAAGGTTGCCTACCCCTGATCAGAGCTGAAGAAGCTTCTTGGATGAGAAGCGAAATGTCTTCAAAGAAAAAACAAGGCAGTCCAGTTGCCTCGTGAAGAAGCATCTTTGGGACAACCATGACCTGGATGATGGAGAATCTCCAAAGACCAGGGGTGGGAAACCTGGGCTCTTTTATGACTTGTGGACTTCAACTCCCAGAATTCCTGAGCCAGCCATGCATGGCTGGCTCAGGAATTCTGGGAGTTGAAGTCCACAAGTCATAAAAGAGCCCAGGTTCCCCACCCCTGCCATAGACGTTCTTGCTAGTCTCGCCCTTGCTAACCAAGATACATTACTGTGCCTGCAGATACAGTGATCCCTCCCTATGGACAGCCTTCATGGGTCTTCTGAATCAGGAGGCCAGGTCAAATAGCCACGTTCAGAAAAGGGCTATCAAGCAAATCATCAGCCATTCGCTCTTCAATGACTTCTCTTTCGACTATGACATTGCTGTGATGGAGCTGGCCAGCCCCGTCACTTTTTCCAAAGAGATCATACCTATCTGTTTGCCCGATGCCACCCACGAATTCCCTACAGGAAAAGCCATCTGGGTGACCGGTTGGGGAAGGACTCAAGAACTGGGTGAGTCAAGAAATGGGAAGGTGAGAGTTTGTCGTCGGCCCTTCAACTTAGGTCAAGCTAGAAATCCCATGTAATGAAGGTCAGTCTTATTATTGCTGGAATTGGGTATATCTAGTTTAATGAAGAGAAGGACGAGGGGGGACATGATAGCAGTGTTCCAATATCTCAGGGGCTGCCACAAAAAAGAGGGAGTCAAGCTATTCTCCAAAGCGCCTGAAGGCAGGACAAGAAGCAACGGGTGGAAACTAATCAAGGAGAGAAGCAACCTAGAACTAAGGAGAAACTACCTGTCAGTGAGAACAATTAACCAGTGGAACAACCTGCCTCCAGAAGCTGTGAATGCTCCAACACGGGAAGTTTTTAAGAAGAGACTGGACAGCCATTTGTCCAAAATGGTATAGGGTTTCCTGCCTGAGCAGGGGGTGGACTAGATGACCTCCCAGGTCCCTTCCAACATTATTATTATTGTTATTATTATTATCATTATCATTAAAATGTCAGAAGGTAATCATGGCTGTGCTACTGGCACAGGTTGCAAAATATTATCTGCTTCTTCCTCGATTCATGAGCATAGAACATAGAATAATGGAAGGGATCTTGGAGGGCTTCTAGTCCAACCCTCTACTCAGGCAGGAGACCCTATACCGCTTTAGATAAAGGGTTGTCCAATCTCTTCTTGAAAACCTCCAGTGATGGAGCACCCACAACTTCTGAAGGCAAGCCAGCCGTTCCACTGATTCATTGTTCTCATCATCAGGAAATTTCTGCTTACTTCTAGGTTACTTCTCTCCTTGGTTAGTTTCCATCCATTGCAATGCAAGCCAGTCATAAAGAGCAAAGACCAAAGATGTATCAACGGAGGCTACGCCAAATAAATCAACATTCTAAAACTTGTTGAAAACCCGTTTGTTGTCACACATAATACTGTTTCTCCGAATGCCTAGAGTCCTGCCACAGGTGGTCCTCGACTTACAATCACAGTTAGGATTTGGAATTTCCATGGCTAAGCAGTGCAGTCATTAAATGAACTGTGCCAATGTTCATGACCTTTTTTCTACGGTTGTTAAGCGAATGTTGGCTTTTCCTCGTTGATTTTGCTTCTCAGAAGCTGACTTAAAAGGGCCCAAATGGTGATCCTCTGATCCTGTGATGCTGCAACTGTTGTAAATACATGCCAGCTTGCCAATTTGGATTAGGTGACTTCCCTAAATCTCACATAAACCATTCTGGGTTTTGGTAGGTTCTCCTTCCAGTATTTTGCAGAAAGCAGAAATCCGGGTGATCAATCAGACGATGTGTGAATCCCTACTGGCCAATCAACTCACTGCACAAATGATGTGCGTGGGAGTCCTGAGTGGAGGAGTCGATGCTTGCCAGGTGAGAAACTTTGCAATTTCTTCTAAAGACGTGAAGAACTTCAAGAACCTTTAAATGGTGCTCAATGGCAATTAGTAAGCAGCTCCAGTCACTCCATTCAGATGGCAGAGAGTTGTTTAGCAGCATCACCATCATTGTGGATCAGGGGTCCTCAACCCCCAGTCTGTGGATCATTACCGGGCCATGGCATGCCAGCAACCAGTCCACACAAGGTCCCACCTGTGGGATGCAGGCAGCACACAAAACCATGCCCCCTCCGGTCCGTGGAAAAACCTCCCTCCATGGAACTGGTCCCTGGTGCCCAAAAGGTTGGGGACCTCTGTTGTAGGTACTTGGCAACAAAGGAGCCACTCAGCCCACATCACTCTGCTCCTTCTTCTTCTATTGTTTTATCTCCCTCTAGAACAGGGGTGTCCAACCTTGGCAACTTTAAGACCTGTGGACTTCAGCTCCCAGAATTCCCCAGCCAGCCATGCGGGCTTGAGAATTCTGGGAGTCGAAGTTCACAAGACTTAAGGTTGGCAAGGTAAGACACTCCTGCTCTAGAAGGACCAGCCTATACAAGGATTGATCCAAATCCTGACAACTCCTTAGAAAACTCCTTGAAGTATGAAATGAGGGAAGGGAGCAGCAGAGAATCTGTTCTTCATTAACTGCTTCCTCATTTCCTTTTAGGGAGATTCTGGAGGACCGCTTGTTAGCGTGGAAGTTAACAATAGGATGTTCCTGGCTGGGGTAGTCAGCTGGGGAGATGGTTGCGCTCGACGGAGCAAACCAGGTGTCTACACCCGGGTCACCAAGTTACGAACATGGATCAAGGAGAAAACAGGGGTGTAGGTAGTTTCTGCCACTAGGATTGTTCACACATCTGCCCCCTCGCCCAGGTCGGTGAACCTGGCCATTGAAGAAGACTTTCCCGCATGATGTGAAGGGAACCCTGTCTTAGAACATTCACTCCTTCTCTCCTTTTGTTCTCGTTCTTCTGGGTCTGGATGGGGAAGGTTGGTTTGACCCATCTGGATTAATTGTATGTGGACCGTTGCCCTTCAACTAGGAGCCCTTCAATTGCTTCTTGCCTTGCTTCTGTCTCCCGAGATCACCGCAGTGTCTTCATTTAAATATGAACTGATTTTTGACCGGCCTGGAGCTCCATCACAGATCTGACTTCGGCACAGGTGTGCAAGGGAAGGTTGGAACCAATTTGAGATAGGATTATACCGGCTCCTCTTTTCCCAAGCGCCAAACAGATGGCACTGGGAGGAACAGAAGACTAAGCTGCCTGTTTAGAAAACAAATTGCAGGTCTCTGGGCTTGGTGCCCTGTTGTTTTCTGTGTTGTGTCCAACACAATGCCAGCTGCGATTATCCTACGGCCTATAACGTTTCCCCTAAAGGTTGCTATCTTTGCTATCACATGTGCAAAGCCCTGGAACTCTTAAGGAAAGGGAATTATGACAATTTCCAGATTTGCTACCTGGATTGATTTAGGGGGCTATAATATCGCTGCAAAACTTTGTTGACCACTAGAAGGGAGCAGAGAGATACAAAAAGCTATCTTTTGCTCCTGGCCAGTGATATTCTGAATATTTATTTTCAGCAGAGGTAAGGCAGCGGTTTCTTTGATTCAATAACTTCTTCTTTTTTCCCCCCCTATCCCCCTGAGTGAACTTCACAATATCGGTGCAGAATTGTCTATAAAATACAACCTTGTCAAACTGACGAGGTAAGCACTGAAAATCATATTGGGTCTGCAACGTAAGAAGCATCATCCTTGCTGTTTTTTACGGGAATATTTCCCGTCTCTGACTTCACCTCCTTTTTATAAGACGCTAATCAAAGATGCAAAGACCTTGGGAAGAAAAACAGGAGGCGGGACAGCCAGGAAATCCCCCCCCCTCTGATTTTTTTCTTTCCCATCCTCATTTGTTTCTTACATCTCACACGCTAGCATAATTTAGATTGAGATTCCCTCCTTGATATTTTTTGAAACCATATTTCTGTTCATTTGAGTCACTGGGATAAAAGTTCTGACTTTAGCTTCCTTTGTAGGGAGAAACAAGCTCTACAACGGTTCTGTGGACTATTAGGTTGTTCTGCAAATCTCTCAAATACCTTTGAGGACAAAAAGCGACAATTGGGGAGTTGCCTTTTGTTCTTCTGTGTCTGCGTGTAAAAATCCAGTTGAAATATTTGGGACTTGCAATCCACTAGCCTCTTCCTTTCATAAAAACAAAACAGTGGATTCTGGACTTTTCCAACAGTGAAAATTACGATTCTTTCCATCAGGGGTGGAATATGGTAGATGGACCAAGAATGAGGGGAGAACTTCAACAAGTGTGTTGGATTCCACCTATCTTGTTTGCCTGAGTTTTGAAAAGCCCGTGCCTTGTATCTAAGTGCCACTTCATCTCCCGAGCCATCCTTCCACAAGACCTTATCTCTTAGAAGCACTTCTTGGTTCTTGTAAAAGGCTGCAAGTTTCAGATGTTCTGGAGACTTGGTCTCCTGAACTTCTTGGAAGACGTTCTGAGATTTGCAGACCCTTGCAGTTCTTGCTCCAAGTCACCTTCCCCAAATCCTGTCTTGCCCAGAAGGTTTTAGGACCCCTTTCCCCACTTAGTGCCCCTCAGATTTCTTGGACACCACAATAAGCTGGCTGGGAATTGCAATGCCTAGTCGTCAATGCCCATTAAAAAGCCCATCTTGGAAAAAATGTTGATAACGGAGCAGATATGTCTGAGATACTGCACTTTTAATCCAGTTCCTCTGCACCTTTTTACCTCATTAGAATGAGATAGATGTAGAGAGATCTAGAGAAAATAATTGTGTGTGCATGTGTGAATGTGTATATGTGTGTTTGTATGGGTGGATGGTTTCGTTTTTCTGCCCCGTTTTGGGGCAGATTGGCATTACCACAATGTGCCTTAATGTACAGCCTTGTTTAATCTGTGGTACTCTACAACATTTCTTTCTTCTTAGGACCCCTGAGATTCTGTATAGGTTGATGGTTAAAGGTAATGCTTGTTTTCCAAACTGGGGGTCCTGTGAAAGTCTTGTATTCACATTCCTCTTCTTCTTCCTAGCTATTAGCCAAGCTGGTTGTAGTCCAGGCTTCTATCCTGTGGTGTCAAATGCTGGTTTGCTTTGGTGTTGCTGATTGCATCAACAGACTGTGAGCCTTCTTTGAGTAGACTAAGTGCCTCTGTGTAAGCCTTTGAGTGAAAGAAAGATGACCGTGAGATTATTTAGAAAATAAACACTACTAAGTAGAGTTAGATGGATGGAGGAAAAAATTTTCTGCAAGCCAATGGACAAAACTGTTGTATTTCACTGTGTGATCTGTTATTTTTTACAACTGTTGCTTTTACAACTGATGGACAAGTAATGAGTTCTTTACTTAGTGTTGTTCTGTTCTTAGTGTAAAACTTAGTGTTGTTCTGCACCTCTGTTGGTCCAAAATGTAGACCAGGGAAAATGACATATGTTCTTGAAGAAGTTGTTCCTCAGACACAGGACAAAAGTGGGAAGAGGTCTTTTTTGTTGTTGTTTGTTTTAGGATATTTGAATAGAAAGGGCTATTTAACGATCTGGGAAATAGGACTGTGTCCTGTTCTTTAAAGCACAAAGCTATAGAAAAGGACCAATGCAGATTTAACTGTTTTATTTCATGTTAAAAGAAAGCTTTTCAAAATTGTTTGAAGTTAATCAGCTCAATTTTACTTCTTACTGTGTTTGTATATATATAAAGATTATATCTTTTTTTAAAAAAAATGCTGTAAATAGCCTAAATACAAGAAAAAACTATACCAAACATAATTCCTACCAATATTTCTACCCCCCTTTTTATTTTTTATTCAAAAACCAAATGAAGTGGAAATGTCCGATGATTCTTAATCTGTTATTAAACTTGTTTTTTAATGGATGTTTCATTTTAATTAGTCATGTTCTGTGGGGTTGAAATATTTTCTTTTGGATGAAAAGCTGGCCTGAGTAGTATAAGCAACAAGGACCTCAAAACAGAGGGATAGCATCAAGATCACAAGAATTGATGCAGGAAGTCATTGATTTATGATCCCAACTGAGCCCCCAATTTTTGTTGTAAAGTGAGACAGTTGTTAAGTGAATTTTGCTCCATTTTACCATATTTCTTGCCAAAGTTGTTAAGTGAATCACTGCAGTTGTTTGTAACACATTCAAGTGAGTCAATGGCTTCCCCATTGACTGCAACTGTCATAAATATGAATCTGTTGCCAAGCGTGTGAATTTTGATCACGTGACCCCAGGGATGCTGCAACGGACATAAGTGTGAAAAGTGATCATAAGGCACTTTTTTCAGTAATGTTGTAACTTCAGTTATTAAAAGAAATATTGTAAGTTGGGGACTATCTGTAATGCCACTTTATACCGTACTAGTGAAGCCACGTGGAATACTGCGTACAATTTTGGTCACTACAATACAAAGATGATGCTGAGGCCCTGGGAATTGTGCAGAGAAGAACAACAAGGATGATGAAGGGTCTGGAGCAATGGATGCTTCGGCTGTGTGTGGGTCCAGCTCTTCTGAAGCCGGTATATTTCCTCCATACCCATTCCAAATAATGGGTTATATATCTTTCCCGTGTATTTGGCGTCCTCCAGATCAACTTTCAGATTTACAAGAACATTCCTGAAGTTTTTCTAGTCTGATGTGTCCTGGAATACATAAACATAGATACATTTTTGGAACAAGAAAGAGAACTTGATTAATCTTTGTTCAATTCATGTGGTGGATTCTTTAGATCAGAGTGCATATTAAAAGCTCAGATACCATGTGTGTATTTGTATGTATGGAGATGAATGGATGGATAGATGGAAAATTGATGGATGGATGGCTGTAAAATAGATGGACAGTTGGTAGATAGATAATAGATATTGATATAGGTAGATTTAGACAGAAAATGGATGGATAGAAAATGGATGGATGGATAAATAGAAAATAGACGGATAGTTGGATGGATGGATAGATAGATATAAATTGATAGATGATAAATAAAGATGCATGCATACATGGTTAGATAGATATTCTGTTCCATTTTTTAACAGATTAGCATGATTATAAGAACACCAAAGGGAATCTCTTTCAAGTTGTGGACAAAAAAACTCAAGATGTGTATCTTCTGTTGTTCACTATGCCCTCTGCTGTGTTTTTGCACTTGGGGCATTGGGATAAATAACACAAGTGTTTCAATTTTGCTCAAAACCCTGGCAGGTTCAGAGGACTGAAGCTGGGGCTGTATATATTTATGGTTGTTTGCTTTTTAATGAGTATTTCCACACTAATAATGTATACTGTCTTCCAGCTTTTGCTGTGCATATATATATCATTAAGGAAGATTAGTTTTGTGCTGCCACAAAGCTGGCCGGGCAAGGCTATAAATTGCTAGTGCAGAAATGTTCAGTGTGTTCATTTTACACTCGGCTTCCTCTCCTCCTGCTGAGCTGCAGAATAAGAGAGCCGCTGGAAGTAGCCAAGGAAGTAACCATGCAGAGACCTCGCACTGATTGAAAAACCAGTTAAAGTCAGAGGAGCAAAATAACTGTCCGGCAACAGACTATTCAAGCGTAAAATAGGCCACAGTTGGTGTTGGTGTGTTTGAAATGAGAAGAAAAACGTTCCAGGTTGTGAGATGAATTTCCCTGCAAAAAGATTCACCGGTGAATTGACCTTTCGGGATGTTCCCTGACTTCCTAGTCGTGCCTACAGCCCTTGAGGGTTCTGCTGTTTCCAAATCCAAACCAGAGCCCAGTCCAGATTCGCTTTGGATCCCAGCCTAGATGTTATTACCTGCTTAGCAGGAACCCAAAACGGGACTTTGAGAAAGGAAGTGGGTAAGGCTAAAAGGCTCAGACCAAAAGAACGACATGTTTTGACTTCCGATGGAGACCAGAAACAGCCATTTCATGCTAGACTTTTCACTCCCTTGGATGATCGCTCACAATCGTCGTACAGGCAGTCCTCAACCTACGACCACAATTGAACTCCAGATTTATGTTGCTAAGCGAGACATTTGTTAAGTGGATTTTGCCCTGTTTTTATGACCTTTCTGGCCACAACTGTTAAGTGAATCATTGCAGTTAAGTTAGTAACATGGTGGTTAAGTGAAACTGGCTTCCCCATTGACTTTGCTTGCCTGATCACATGACCACCTTTATGCAACTGGCATAAATATGAGTCAGTTGCCAAGTGGCTGAATTTTGATCACATGACCATGGGGATGTTATAATGGTTGTAAGTGTGAAAAATGGCCATAAGTAACTTTTTCCAGTGCTGTTATAACTTCTAACAGTCACTAAATGAATGTGTTGTTGTAAATCAAAGGTATTCTATTCTATTCTATTCTATTCTATTATTTCATAACCATATATTCTATTCTATTCTATTTTATTCTGTTCTGTTCTTTCCAAAACACTCTGTTTTTTTTTTCATTCTTATTCTCTATGTTGTCCTTTACTCTTCCAATATTTGAGGGGCTACCACAAAGAAGAGGGGGTCAACCTATTTTCCAAATCACCAGAAGGCAAGATAAGAAATGATAGAAACTAATCAAGGAGAGAAGCAACCTAGAAACTAAGAAGAAATTTCCTAACAGTGAGAACAATTAACCAGTGCAATTGGCTTGCCTTCAGAAATTGTGGATACTCCATTGCTGGAGAGGTTCAAGAAGAAATTTGGCAGCCACTTGTCTGAAATGGTATAGGATCTCCTGCTTGAGCAGGGGATTGGACTAGAAGACCTCCAAGGTCCCTTCCAACTCTATTATTCTGTTCTCCGTATTTTGCATTAGCACCAGATCGAATTTTAAATGGCAAACTTTGAGGAACGGAAGAAGGGATGCACAAAAAATGGGACTATCTGTCAGTCAGTGCTCTGAGCAAACCCCAAATTCATTTTGGGGGGGGGGTTCCCCGAATCCTGTGCACCATCTGCAAGTCCATGGGAAGTGTGTTGCCTGGGCACAGACAACTAAGCTGTGCAATACGGCTGAAGACATGAACCTTGGGTGGGGAGGGGAGGGGAGAAATATGTTGCTTTGAGGCAACGCAATTGTTGAAGGAAAAATCTTCACCAGGGTCCAGTCCAAGCCGGGAATAATCAAAATGGAGACTGCTTTAGAAAGAAGGTTGTAGTTTATTGAAGAGGAGAGCCAGACAGAAAGATGGCTCTGGAAAAACTTGGAGCAGGGAGTGGTGCGTTTTTATACCTTCTGGGGTTCTTGAGGTAGTTTCCTGCTCCCGTTTGAGGCTTTTTATTTCCTGTGTCATGCACTTTGACCTGAGTCTAAGTGTGCCCTTTTGGTATTGGTGGGTTAATCCTATTACGTCTCTTGTCCTTAGAATTTGGGTGGGGGTATGTAGATTTTAGGTGTCTTTGTCTTCCTAATAGCTTCCTGGCTCCAATCTTTCTGAATGGATTATTACATCTGCATTTCTAAAAGCTGCCCTCTGCCTAGTTTCTGCTTGGGAGAGAGAGGCTGAGGCTGGTTTCTTTTTTAAGATCTTCTGCATTATTCCTTTGGGGAAATATATCCTGCCTTTTTAATATTCCCCCAAATATTTCTTTCTCTGCATTCTTTCCACACACAACAAATCCAAGTTCTCTGGTTGACAAAGCTGAAAATCCAGATCTGTTGCTTAGGCTGCAGATCAAATCTCTCCCTCTGCAGATCCATCTTGCTCATTGATCTGTCTGCCAGCACCCAGGCAAACATGCTAGGGAAGGGAGAGAGGCTCTTGGGACCAAGAGTGGAATTAAAGTATTAAATCTAAAGAGATTAGTTCTGCCTCTGGACAGCCAGGAGATTACAGGTAGAGCTCTCCGCTGGGGTGTTGGTCAAACAGGCCAGGTCTGTGCATGATCATTGCATGCTCTGATGCTGCAAATCATTCTGTAAGAAATATCGTTCCCCACCCCTCTTTTGCACAGTAGGCCAGAAAGGGGTGACAATAAACTACAGTCTTTAACTGGGAATGTCTGGTCTAACGAAGAGAAGGACTAGGGGTGATATGATAGCAGTCTTCCAATATCTGGGGGGGAGGTCATAGAAAGGAGGAGGTCAATCTATTCTCCAAAGTACCTGACGGCAGGATAAAAAAAATAACAGATGGAAAGTCATGGATGAGAAATCCAATCTAGAACTCAGGAGAAATTTCCTGGCAGTGAGAACAATTAATGTAGAACAGTTTGCTTTCAGAAGTTTCATCTCGGGAGGTTTTCAAGAAGAGACTAGACAACCAATTGTCTGGAATGGCATAAGGCAGGGATCCCCAACCCCCAGTCTGTGGATCAGTACCGAGCCACGCCATGCCAGCAACCGGTCCGCACAAACAAGCAAAGCCCCATCTGCGGGGTGCAGACAGCACACAAAACCACGCAACCTCCAGTCAACAGAAAACCTCTCTCCACGGAACCAGTCCCTGGTGCCCAAGAGGTTGCTGACCTCTGGTATAAGGTCTTCTTCAGCAGGGAGTTAGACTAGAAGACCTTTAAGGTCCCTTTCAGCTCTGTTATTCTCTATTCTAAGTGCCTAATATCCATCTGCCCATCTGTTTTCTTTTTCTTTTTGCTTTTCCCTTTCCTGAGTTAATACTCAGCTGAGATTCGGATTTTTTCCCCCCTCATTCACCCGTTGCAAACCCTGTTCAAAAACCATTTTTATTCCTGTTACCTCCCTAAGGGATCATTGATTGCTGGATACAGCTAAGATTTATAATCAAGCCATCAAAACAAGCAACCTCCGAATATGAATTTGGGGCATTAAGAACATAAAAGTTAGATATCAGGGTTTTTTTTTGACAGAGCTAGTTTGTTTTTTGTTTTTTCCTTAACCTGTTATGCAATCCAGGCAATGATGGTTTATTCAATAAGTCATCGTTATGTAATCCACAATTTCACACAGGACGTGAACCGAGATGTTGCACGGGTCAGGTTAAATGTGACTCAATTGCCTTTTATGGCTTGAAGTTCTATCTATGGCTTTCTTCCTTGAAACGCACCATCATAACAGCGTTGCCCTTTCCCTTCGTTTAGAGGAACAAAGATGAAAGAAAGACTCTAGATAAATAAACAGTTCTTCTGAGCAAGTTCAGATCATTCTTTCTTCTCTGAGGAGCCGCAGTATTGTGTTCCAAGAAAAGTTAGGAAATCCAAACAACCCTGCAGCTCATTACCAAACTTTGTCTTTTACATAAATGTAATCATTGGCCATATTAAATCTTCTCCCATTCCCTATCACTCTAGTGCAGGGGTCTTCAAACTTGGCTCTTTTATGACTTGTGGACTTCAACTCCCAGAATTCCTCAGCCAGGCACGTGTGCCTGGCTGAGGAATTCTGGGAGTTGAAGTCCACGTCATAAAAGGGCCAAGTTTGAAGACCCGTGCTCTAGTGAATGTTCTCAGTGTTAGCAATACAATCATTAAACTCACGTTTGCGTATGGGTTTTTTTTGTTCACCAGGCTTCCACAGAATCTAGTGACACCTTCTTCCATCCACTAGATGTCACTATTTTATAGGTTATCACAGGAGTTTTGGCCTTCTGCCTGCCAGATGCTAAACATCTGGAGTGCGAGAGTTGGCTCAGGTTTGGTGCCCTCCAGGTAATGCTGGACTCCAGCTCCCATCGATTTCAAGCAGCAGGCCATTCTTCTTCATCTCCATCTTAATGCGTCAACAAGCACCCTTCATGAAGAA